TGGCTATGCATCTGAAAAGATGCATCGTTTCACTAATAATTAGAAAAATTCATTTAAAACAACAATGAAGCACCATTTCCACCTACCAGACTGGCAAAAATCTAAAGAGTAGTAATATATGGTGTTGGTGAGGACACAGGGAAATGAAGACTCCATATGCTTTTGGTCAGAATACATACTTACTAAGTATAGTCTTCAGAAACTCAAATGTGGCTTGTGTACCTCACTGCACCAAGGCCATATTCTGGCAGTCCTCTCACTAGGGGCAGAATAGTGTCAATTTCATTGGAAACCAGAATAGTGCCATTTTCATTGGATATCCTGCTACATAATGTATTTTTACATTTAACTCTAATTTACCTGTAATTTAAATTCGTGTAGTCTTGAACAATCACTAGGTTAAAGAATAAAATCAAAAGGAAACAAAAATAATCTCAAGACAACTTATGGGATGCAGGAAAAGCACTACTAAGAGGGAAGTTTGTAGCAATAAATGCTACATTAAAAAGAAAAAGATCTCAAATAAACAACCTAACTTTACACCTCAAGGAACTAAAAAAAGGAAAACAAACTAAACCCTAAGTTAGCGAAAGGGAGGAAATAATAAAGATCAGAGAAGTAAATTCCTAGAAACATACAGCCTACCAAGACTAAATCAAGAAGAAACAGAAAGCCTGAGCAAATTGATAACAAGTATGGAGATTAAAGCAGTAATCTAAAACCACCCAACAAAGGAAAACCCAGGACCAGATGACTTTATGGTTGAATTCTCAATAGAGAAAAAGCATTTGAGAAAATTCAACATGCATTCATGATAAACACTCTCAGTAAAATAGGTATAAAAAATTTCCTCAACACAATAAAGACAATTTGTAAAAAGTCCATAGCTAAAATAATCTATGGGGAAAAGCTGAAAGCTTTTTCTCTAAGATCCAGTACAAGACAAATATGTCCAATCTAGCCACATACAGTCATTATTTTAAAAAATTAAACAATACAGAAATAAAAAGAGTAAAAGGTAAAAGAACCATTACCCCCACCAATGCCATTTCCTTCCCCAGAAGTATGGTAATATCCTTCTAGAGCTTTTTCTATACTTAATCACACACTCACACACACACACACACACACAGACTAGGTCATATTATACATACTGTTCTGCATCTTGCTTTTGTTACATAGCAGTTTATCACAGATACCTCTCCAAGTCCATGCATATAAATCAACCTCACTCTTTATAAATTGTATAGTATTACATTACATTCTAATCGTTTTTCATTAATTAACCATTCTTGGATTTTCACACTACATGATTACAGCATCTGCCATCATGCAAAAAAGAAAACTGAATTTTATTGTCTTTTTGCAGCAGCTAGAATATCCAAAACAATGTTAAGTGATTGTAGTGACAAAAGAAAGCCTATGTCCCTAACTTTAACAATAAAGTCTTTAATGTAAATTTTAATGTTATATGTAGGGTTCAGATTTTTATCATGTTAATAAAGTGCCTTTGAATACTAATCTTTTGTTTGTTAATCACGATGAATGTTGAATTTTTCAATGCCATGATGCATCTACTGCCACAATAATATAGGTTTCCTAATATTAAACTCATAATTTTTGTACTCATGCTTCTGGTGGATTATTTTTTTAATATTATACTAAATTAAATTCTATAAAGTTTCCATTAAGATTTTCATACATGAGATTGTGATTGTCCTGGGTGTTTTCTCTTTTTTCTTTGTTGATTAGTGTCTTTATGAAGCTCTACTTTCAGCTTACTTCCAGACATCCTTTTCATTCTCAAGAGTACAGCACAAACTGGTGTGCTGTACTCATCAGATTAGTTTCCTCTTCCTGGGAACACAGCTAAACTACATCACCAGCCCCTTGCATGTGACTGCTTCCCACCAAAGGCCATGGCACAGGAGCCATGAGGAGTTTGTTCAGAGCAGAAGGGCCTTTTTTCCCTTTCTCTCTTTCCCCCTTCCACAGCAACCATGGAGGTCATGGAGCTGCAGGATGGAAAAGGCTTAGACCCTTCACTGCTTGGAAGAAAATCTCCCAGGAGAACCACACCACGAGGAAAATCCACATTGGAATTTGTTAAGCTATTGAGACTTGGGGTTGTTTGTTACAGCAACTAATACAATACAATGCAGTACAATAATACATAACAATGCGATGCGATACAATGCCATCTTGAAATGTAGCTGTATCTCACAACACTACATTTTGGTTATGGATTGACCACACATACAACAGTGGTCCCTTAAGATTACATAGTGAATGGTTCAGCAGAAGCTTTTTCAGACTTCAACAAGCTCCCTAAAAAAGTTTGAAAACATGGAACCCAACATTGTGAGGTTTTCGTTAATTGAGAGGGTTGTTCGTGGTGCATTATGTGCTTATAAGCAAATCTATAATGGAAAAAAGCAATCCACCACTGCTGTGGATCTCAGACAGCTCTGAGCTTGCTGGGTAGCCCCTGGGAAGACAGTGAGACCCCAGAGAGGGATAGTGGTGGGTGATGGCATTGAAAATTCTCATGACTCTCATGCAAGGTACAGAGGAAGTGGCAGAAAGAGCCCCCAGATCTGAGGGGTACACAGGCGGAAAGAGGATGTCTTGCTAACGCACCAACCAACCATGTGTCTACATAAGAGCAGGGCAAACTGGTGATCGGAGAAACAGAGCCTCCCCCTCAAGGGCTGGCATTACCCAGGGCCCCTCAGGAAAAAGGAGGGAAACCCAAATTGATTGTGCCGGGCTCTAGGGATAAACAAGGAGAAACACAGCCCTTTGAGGAGCTTACCAGCTTTACTGGTGTTCTTGTCACCCTGCGGGTGGTGGAGAACCATCTCTGGTTGGGGGGCTTAGGTGGGGTGGGCACGGTGAGG